AAGGATGGGTGCATGTGACAAACAGTGCCTTGTCTTTCTGAGTGTCTTCCTAGGAAACTGTCAGCTGCTTTACACGTAATGCCGTGGTTAAGAACACACACAGGCTCTGGACCCAGACTCCCTTGGTTTGAGTCTGAGCTTCATCACTTCAGAGCTGTGTGACCTTGGGCAAGTTCCTTAACCTCTCTGTGTCTGTTTTTGTCATCCGGCCTATGAGGCAACAATAACACCTATTCACAAGGTTGTTAGAAGGATTTAAATAAGGTAACCTGTAAAGCACTTAAAATAGTACCTGGTATATGGGGAGTGTTCAATAATTGCTAGCTATTATTTTTATTATAAACCTTTTTGGGGATAAAAAACTAGTTCTAGAAAAAACTGAAAACAGTTCTTGCAATGAAGTAAGACAGGAAAAATATTTTATAGTTGAACAAAGAGCACAAAATTGTTTTTATACACTCAGCGTTATAAGTTGGGTAGAAAAAGTAAAGACTGGAAAGAAATATACTAAAATATGTAAACAGTAATTGCCTCTGAGTACTGGTAAGTTTTCTGGTTTTTAATATTTTCTATACTCTCCAAATTTTCTATAATGTGTACATACTTTGTTTATAATAAGGACAAAACTAAAATGCTCCACGAGTGGCCAGGGCTTCCTAAGGGCAAGGCAGGGAAGTTTATTCACAAAGAGGGTGCGGGAAGCTTCCTCTGCAGGCTCATTAGCCATCTCAGATGTTCCATTTGCTATAAAGTCTCACACCATTTTCCAGCGACAGCAACTCAATTCCTTTTGGTGAGCCCATCCTTGATTAGAATTCTAAGGCTTCTTAAAAACCACATGAGCTCCCTGTCTTCCAGCAATGAGTTTCTGGAAAATTGTTCTTCATCTTTTGGGGGGTATGGAACCATACAAAGATCTGATGAGGCAGGGTGTGGAGACTCGTGCTTGTAATCCCAGCATGTTGGGGAGGCCGAGGTGGGAGGGTCAGTTAAGGCCAGGAGTTCAGGACCAGCCTGAGCAACATAGCAAGACCCCGTCTCTACAAAGAATTTAAAAATTAGCCGGCCATAGTGATGTGCACCTGTAGTCCCAGGTCCTCAGGAGGCTGAGAAAGGTGGATCGCTGGAGCCCAGGAGTTTGAGGCTGCAGTGAGCTGTGATGGTGCCACTGCACTCCAGCCTGGGTGACAGAGCAAGACCCCATCTCAAGGAGAAAAAAAAAAAAAAAGATCTAATGGAAGTCTTGGACCCTCTGCCTGGAAGAGCTAAGCTGCAACAGTTCCCCACACCACTCAGGGTCTCCTTCCTTCCTCCCTCCCCAAGGAGGGAAGCAAATTCTAGAGCAACATCCAGCATCATCTCTCTGTCCAGCCTTCCCTGCGCTGGCACCTCAACTCGATATGCTTCTGATTTAAGGTGCTGTTCTGATGAACCTTCCTCTAGGAGGTCTTTCCCACCCCACCATGATGCGCCGTAGTGGAAAGAACACTGGCTTTGTGTTGGGATGCTCAGTTTGAATTCTAACATCGAGACACACTGCCCTGGGACTCTATGCAAGAAGCAAAGCTCTGGCCGGGCGCCGTGGCTCACGCCTGTAATCCTAGCACTCTGGGAGGCCGAGGCGGGTGGATTGCTCGAGGTCAAGAGTTCGAGCCCAGCCTGAGCAAGAGCGAGACCCCCGTCTCTACTAAAAAATAGAAAGAAATGATCTGGACAACTAAAAATATATAGAAAAAATTAGCCGGGCATGGTGGCGCATGCCTGTGGTCCCAGCTACTCGGGAGGCTGAGGCAGAAGGATTGCTTGAGCCCAGGAGTTTGAGGTTGCTGTGAGCTAGGCTGACGCCACAGCACTCACTCTAGCCAGGGCAACAAAGCGAGACTCTGTTTCAAAAAAAAAAAAAAAAAGAAGCAAAGCTCCTCTGAGATGCAGCTTCAGCCACAAAAAGATACCATCAGATTCAGCAAGAAGGTGTTAGGGTTAAACACAACGAAGAATGTAAAATATCCTTGATTTGGTCTGTGGACTGCACGCTCTCAGAGCTCATTGCACATATCATGCTAACAAACAGATTGAGCACCTGCGACGGGCCAGGCTTTTGCTAGGCAGACAGGGATGAACAGGGCGTCTGCTGGAAGGAGCTCAGAGTCCAGTGGGAGATCAGTGGTGAACCCATGAGACTCGCTGCCAAGGAGAAGCAGCTGGTTGCTCTGGGAATGCAGAGAAGGCAGCACAGAGGGGAAGGGCATGCAAGAAGCCTTCCCTGGGATGAGGCGGTGCTTGCACTGACCCAGCGTTTGCTGGGTGCACAGGCAGGGATAGCTGCTCCGGGCAGCGTGGACAGAATCGACTAGGGCCCAACATAAAGGCTGGGTGGGATTGTATTCGCTTGTTCCCCTACATACCCACCATAGAGGCAGGCATGAATATTCACCTTGGGAGCAACAGCAGAGCCCTACAGACTCTTACGGAGTGGGCAGGTGGCACAAGCCTGGTCGGAGCCTAGTAAGTACACCCTTGTTGGATGGATTAATGAGTGAGCATTAGGAGGATCAGAAAGTAATCATAGGTGACACACAGCTTTAAAGGTACCACCATTTGCATTGAATTCCAAAGCATTTTGGGCAAAGGGAGTCACAGTCTCATAATATTCCTGTGCTGCTGTGGAGCTGGGCTCACTGCTTTAGGAAAGAACTTCAGCTTCTGCTGGGCCGATTCTCTTACAACTGGGTTCTCAGCACCCCAGTTGAATGTTTAGCACATGATCTCCCTACTGGCAGTGCTTGAGATGTTGCAAAACAAGCTCCCTTAAGGCTATTAAGCCTCTCCCTGAACCCTGTCATGTTCGTGCTGTCATCACAAGGTCTCCTCCTCCCACTTTTGGTGTAGCAGTTATGCCAACGTCACTCAGGCTGGGTACTTCATGCCTTCTGTGCTGACTGCTCTGGCCTCTGTGTAAATTTCCTTTCCCATTTCACCCCAGCTGGACAGCTTCTGAGGTGTCTCCCACCTAATCTAACTTTACTTTCTGTGGCCAAAGAACATGGGCATCCCACACATGGGGTCGACACGGTCTTTTTGAGCAATTCTTTCCCTTTGAGGGACTGAATTAGGAAGATCAAAAACTCTCACTCAAGGAACTGCACAGTTCTTAGATCACACAAAAGTAGGGGAGGGGTGGAGAAGGGGGTTAGTTATTTGCCAACTGTAAAATCATGACTCCTCTAGACTTGAAAAGATGCATCCTCTTAGAAGGAAAATCATTTAGCTTCATCATCTAAAAAAGAAATTTGTCCAGTTAAGACAACCATCAGCTCTCCTAAAAGCTTTTACGAGGATGTAAACATATTGTAATTTTAAAATGAAATTGGGAGGCTGTAGATGAATAAGAAATTCCATTTGTCTTGTTGCTTCTGTGAGAGTTTGACACCACTACTTCTTCTAGTATAAAGAAATAGAAGACTGGGGGCTCTGTGCTTGCAACCTTTCCTCTTGCTTCCACTAACTGAGCCATCGGTAGCATCCTGGCGGGACACAAGTACCAGTGTGATGCCTGTATGTGCCAGTTAAGTTGCAAAGAAGGAAGAGGTCAGCCAGCTACTGGTTGTCTTTTTTAAAAGTTATTTTCCTCCAATATTGTTAATGCTCAAATGCATTGTTGGTAGATACCATCACGGTAGTTGATATTAATATTCTCAGCACATTGCTTTCCTGTGATGTTCTTCGACTTTTAAATCCTCATCGAAAATATTTTTAAAGCAAACAACAGCAAAAAACACAAAGTAGTAAGCTAAAAAGGAACCTTTCCGATCTTTTGATTTGAAGAAAGTTTTGCTCATTTTGGGGAGAGTTCGATATGAATTACATAAGTGATACATAAGAATATCTGACTCTTCAAACACACGCTTATCCTTAATCTGACACTTACCACATGCTAGGCACTGTTTTAAATGCTCTATACATATAGCTCATTTAAAAGTACCTCTCCTCCATTTTTAGATGGGAAACTGAGGCACAGAAAGGTTAAATAACGATGTTACAGGCTAAGAAGAGGTGAAGCATGCATTTGAACACAGGTGACCCTGGAGTACGTGCCTTTACCGAGGGTAACATCCTGCCTGAAGAAATGGTTAAAGTCAGCCATGTTCATTCTATAAAATTTTATGCATTGAAAAAAGTTCATATTATGGAGGCATATTTAATGATGAGAAAATGCTCATAATACAGTGTTAAGTGCAGGAACAAAACTGTACATACAAAATAACATAATAGGTGTGTGTGTGGATACATGAACACATACTCTCGCACACACACAAGATAAAGGACTTGCTAGCAAGTAACCCACCACGTTAGCAGCGGTTATCACCTGGGTGAAGGAATTCCTAAAGATTTTTACTCACTTTATTATCTGTTCGCTTTTACAAAGTTTTCCGCCCTTAACATAGATATATTTTTCACGTATCGGTAAAACAGTATTTTTAAATCGCAGCTTCACATATCTCTTCTGTTCAGAAAGACACCTGCCTACGAGAGCCCCTGGAGGTGGCACCGAGCAAGGGGGCGCCGGTGAGACCCCAGCCGCCCTCGCCTCCCTCTCCAACACGGAAGGAGGGGGCGGCGCAGGGTCCGCCCCGCGCTCCCAGGCGCTGGTGCCCGCCTTTCGGCTCCCGGTGGTTTAACCAGTCCCCGGGGTCCAGAAGGATTGCCAAGGGGCACCCGGCTCGGTGTCAACAGACTGCACGAGTCTGGTCTACACTGCAATCCGGGGGGCGCCCGGGAAGGACTGGGAGTGTCTGCAGGGTCTCCGCCCCGAGCGCTCCTGGGGGGTGTCCCCCTGCCCCACGCCCCAATTTGAGCGCTTCCCTCTCGGAGCATCCTCCCGCCCGCGTGGCCTCCCCGGCCCGGGTTACCTGCAAGGACATGCTGGCCCTGTCGGCGGCTGCTCCCCGCGCGCTGGCTCCCGAGCTGCGCCCCGCCTCCTCTTAAAGGGCGCTCTCCCGTTAGAGGGCGCTCCCATTGGCTGGGATCTCGGCCCGGCAGGCTCCTATTGGTTGCTCTCCGGATTCGGCTGTCTTCCATTGGTCGCAGGCGGGAGGGCGGGGCTGATCCGTGAGCTGCCCCCGCCCGCGGTCCCCAGCTGTCGCCGCTGCCCCAACTGTAAAGGCGAAGCGACGTGAATTTCAATGAGGTCCTCTGCGCTCTTGGCCTGCTCGTCTATTCTTTCTCTAGAGGTCTCTTGCGGGAAACCCAGGGAGGCCGTCCCAGGGCACCGACCTCCCTTGGGACCCCTTCTTGCTACTCCCCTCTGTCCTGTGTAATTCCTGGAAACCCGGGGACGCCGGTCATCATCAGGGAAAAAGGCGTGTGGTTTGCACCTTTCTCCTCCTTGCAAAGCAAAAACACCTACATCTGAACGCGCGCTGCAGCCACCCTAACTTGTTTTCAATCACGGCAAAGGCACAGCACCGCTCGTCTATTCAATTTGACCCAGTTCTCCAGAGGAGCAAACCCAATGTCACTCCGAGTCTGCAGACCAAACACGCAGAATAGGGTTGTGAGCCGCATCTTGTTACATGTCCCAAGAACTGGAGCCAGAGTCTGGTCACAGGAGTTGATTTCCCGCGGACTCTTCGTTTGAATGGCCCCATCCAGGAGAAAAGGAACTCGGAGTTGGCAGAGTTGCAGAGTTTGAACATAACAACAGCGCAACCACTGACGGAGAAGAAAGACTCAGAAAACTTTTAGCTTGTTTTCGCATAAAGCTACGTCTAAAAAAAATGCTTCTTTTTCAAGTAAATTCCACCCCCACCCTGAAAATATTTTCGTGCTGAAATGAACACATTTCCAAGTAAAGGACAAAAAGCAAATGTTAGAAAAATGTATTGGGCAGTTTTTAGGGTTTTCTGTTTGTTTGATTTTAAAGTCCTGGACGATGGGAAAGTTTGGGATTCATGAACATAGAGATAGTATTCAGAACCTTGATTCTGAAAGACCCTAGAAACTCAAGGTATGTAGAAGAGAAAAGAGAAGAGGAGGGAAGACTGAGCCCTGGGGGGCTCCAACGTGGAGGGGCTGGGGAGAAGGGGAAGAAGTAGGAAAAGGAGACAGAGAAGAAGTGATCACTGAGGTAGGAGGAAAACCAAGAACACGTATCCCAGAAACCAAGTCAAGAAAGCAAATCCAGTGAAAAAGTATGTCTAGCAAGATAAGGATTGAGAATGTATGATTAAACCTACATATGGATGACCTAAATGGGAGTCTCAATGCAATGGAGGTGGGGGGCTATGTCTGACTAGAGCGGGTTTAAGAGAGAACGCAAGAGCAATTATAGAATAGTCTCGTGGACTGTCAGTTGGGTGTGGGTGGGGACTGACAGCTTTATGACACAGAGTTGCCCAGCCTGGGCAACATAGCAAGAGTTTGTATCTACAAAAAAATCAAATCAAATCAAATCAAATCAAATCCATTAGAGAGAGAGAGGGCACATGAAACACACATCCTGGACTAGCCTTGTGACCATCTGATTTAAGGTCTTTCAAATTTCTTTTTTAATAGAACCGCTCTGCCAAGGCCCCTGACAACCTTGAACATCTTCACATAGCCACCTAGGCAAGGCCTGACTGTAGCAGTCTTTTTTTTCAGCATATTATGGGGGTACAGATGTTTAAGTTATGTATGTTGCCCTTGCCCACCTCCCCCTCAAGTCTGAGCTTCAAGCGTGTCCAGCCTCCATCTTTTTTTTTTTTTTTTTAAGACAGAGTCTCTCTCTGTCACCCTGGGTAGAGTGCAGTGGCATCATCATAGCTCACTGCAACCTCAAACTCCTGGGCTCAAGCGATCCTCCCGCCTCAGCCTCCCAGAGTGCTGGGATTACAGCCGTGAGCCACCGCGCCCTGGCGGGCCATGTATCAACAGCAGTTTATCCTGAGTCTTGGCAGAGTGCCCCATGATTTCTCATGGAGCAAGGCTTCCCTCTTGTGGGAAGCAAGAAACACAGCGGTGTTTCGCATCCCTTTCCCTGGCTTCAGTTGAGACTAGGGCTTTCCATCTCTTCCCCCTTCTCCTCCCCACTCCCCGCAACCTGCTCTACCTTAGGGTGCAGCTGCAGGCTTTTGCATAAGTCTATAGAACTGTGTGCTGAAGTTCACAGTTGATTTCTCAATGCAGAGTGACCCACCCCTCATAATACCTGTCATCTGACCTCTGGGACTAGGGATGTTGTCCCATGGGGATTAGAGTCGCAGGGTGCTGACATCATGTTGGTCTTGATTTTGCTGTCCTGTGAGGCCTAGAAATTGCTTAATTGCTTGCAATGTTTCACATTCACATTGCCTCTAGGGACCCAGGTACTTTTTGGAGCATTATGTAGTCCTAACTAGCAGAGCTTTCAATACCACAGACTCAAAGTCTGTTTTTCTGGTTTTGCAGCTCATCATTAAAGTTTATTCTTAGGAACTGACTTTAAATTACTGGTTGTTATTTACATAACAATTGTTGATGTTATATATAGCAATAACACACACGCACACAAAGATCAGAAAGTCAGGAGGGAAAGAAGAATCTGGTGGTCAATTCTCTTACATTCTTCTATTGACAAACTTTCTTGTTGTGACTTTCACTTATTTCATCAAAGGACTGTGGCTAATGACATCATCCAGAATCTTAAATCACTGTTACACTACGGTAAGCATGTAAACCTAACAACAGTCCAATTCTAGAATTGATATAAAAAGAAAGCTTTATTATTCAAAGACCAAAGTGAGGTGGGTTTTTTGTTCTGTTTTTCAATTTTAGAGACAGGGTTTCACTCTGTTACCCAGGCTCGAGTGCAGTGGCCCAATCATAGTTCACTGCAGCCTCAAACTCCTGGGCTTCAGCTTCTTGAATAGCTGGGACTACAGGTGTGTGCCACCACACATGGCTAATGTTTTTGTTTTACTTTTTGTAGAGACAGGATCTTGCTATGTTGCCCAGGCTGAAAGCTAAGGTTTTACAGGCTAAAATAAGTGTCATTAAAAAGCAAAACTGATTATTTAGTATCAGATACCAAATATATAGATTTACAGTAATAATTTGAAGCCTTTGAGAAACATGAAAAAATGATATGTGGAAAGAAAATCAGAACACAAGATTTAATCTGCCAAATTTTAATGCAAAAGCATGCATGTATGGGAAACAAATTAGAAAGGGAACATTAAAAAAATCATGTTTGGAGGTGATTGGGTCCTGGGAGAATTTTTTTAAAAACTTTTTTGTTGTAGTATTTGCACAATACAAATGGGAGAGAAATCAACTTTGAAATGTAGTTTATTCTAGCAAAGTTCTTGTGGAAATTATCTTGCTAGTTTTAAAATAAAACATAAGTACTAAAATCATAAGGCTATATTTAATGTTTATTAACTTAATTCTGCCAAGAGTGTCACTGGATTTATCACAGTTCGATTTATCAAGCACTTACTATGTGCCAGGCACTGTGCTAAGTGTCTTATGTGGGATCATCTCTTTCAATCCCTCACAACAGGTACTATTTTTATCCCTTCATAGAGGAGGTTAATGAACTTGCCTAGGGTCATACGCTAGTCAGTGACGAAGTTAGGATTTCAACCTAGGCTGCCTGGCTCCAGAGTCATGTAATATATTAGAACAGCTAATAATCTCCATAGAGTAAATGTTAAGCTGAGACGATGCTCAAACTATAAACCTGGAACCTTAGGGGGACAAAAAGTTTGTTCCCCTAAAACTTTTCCCATTACTCTAGCATTTTAATTAGATTTGTGTGTCTTTGTCTTTAGAACTTCATAATGTTTGTAGTTCATCATAGTGAGTTCATGATTCATTTTATGAAACAAAAGCTTTTGTTACACTCGAATTCATTGTAATCTCATTCTTTTTAATTTTTGTTGATAAAAGTCACATTATATTTTTACCCTGTGTAACCCACAATAATCTTTGACCAAAAGCCAGCTTTTTGTTTTGTTTACTTTATGTCCTATTAGGTACTGTGTAGGTAGCTATTATAAATATGGAAATTGGAAATACAGAAACTAAAAAAATGGGAAACAAAATGAGTAGTGAAGAGACTGAGAAAAGGAAGAAGATATGATATGTAGAAGAGGAAAAGGAAGGGGGCCTAAGTTAGACTGGAAAGGAAAAAGTAGGGGCAGAGAGGAGGCTCTTTAGATCGGAAGCAACATCCTGTCTTCTAGGTTCCTGCCAAGAGCAGATCCGCAGATTCAGATTCCCGGGCTTCAAAGTGTCACTCAGCTGTTTGACCAATTGTCCACGACTTTCCGGCGACTCCGTTCGTAACCGCAATCTCCACTGCCTGCAGTAGCCACAGCAGACACTTGATGGAATATTCTGGTCTGCTCCTGCAGAGCTCCAAGCAACTCTTACTCCCCCTTTCGGGGCCTCGAGGTTCCCCACATTATTGCCTGTAAGGACGTGTTTCACCCAACGCCCTGCCCTTCATTTATCTTGATTTTCCCGGTGCCAGGGAGTCTACAGGGATTCGATGGGGATGGGTCATTGGAACTGGGGCTAGGGTTTTGCGTCCCTAAGGCAAGCCAGAGACAGAAAAGCGATTAGAGGTAGAGGATTAAGACTCCAGGACGCCGAAAGGCAGAAACAGGGTTAGAAGGGAGAAGGTGCTGAAGCCCTGAGAGAACCAGCCTCCAGGAGACTGCAGGGGGAAGGCTGGCCCCCAAACGGAGGCAGGTTACCGTGGCAACCGTAGGGTCTCGCGAGACAGACATTACGCCTGCGCACTGCCCTTCTAGGGCCCCGTTTGGAGCCTCGGGTCTGAAACTCAGGTTTTTAAAGATGGGGCCTCGTTCTGTCACTTCCAGGCCGCGCGACGCTGTGCCCCGACTTCCCCCACCTTGGGAGTGACCCACCGTAGGATAACGAAACGGGAAATGCTCCGAGCGGCTCCGTCCGGCCCCTCCCCCCGAGTTTGGTAGGTGGAGGCTGGGAGGCGAGGACTCTGCGCACGCGCGGCGCACGCGCGGCGCAGGCGCACATGGGGCCGGCGCTTCGCTCGCTGATGACGACAGAGTCGTCGTCCTGAGTCGAAGGTGAGCTGTCTCCATGCGCCACCCGGAGTGAGATCGGGCCTGGGACTCCGGCAGAGACGGATTTGAGGCAGCTTTTCCCGTTCTCTCGAGAAGACGTTTGTGGTATTAAAAATTCCTTTCTTCTTTGGCAATCCTTGTCTCAATAGTTGGATCTTTGTGTGACAAGCAATTGGACCGAGACAGAAACGCCCTTGCTGTTTGACAGCGTGATTACTTGCTAATATGTTTTTCTCATAGATTGTAACCTCACTGAGGCTAGCGACTATTTGTTCCTTATTTAAATACTTCATCTTTATGGACTGGCGCATGGTAGACAATCCATAAATACGTGTTGAAGTCAGAAAGGTGGTCGTGGGGCTGAGGGTGGGAGTGGGAGTCCAGGCAGAGGGAATAATGTGCATAAAGACATTGAGGTGCGAAACTGGTGGCCTCGTGTAACAGTACGTGATTCAGGGTTCAGTGTCATGGGCACGGCAGGGCCTGAGGAGGAGGAGGCAGGTGGGAGATTGGGGCCAGAGTGTGGAAGGCCTGGTATGTCCCTTTAAAGAGTTTGCACTTCATCTGTAGGCAGCAGAGGCCTCCCAGACATAGCTCAAAATGACCCTCAGCAAGGCCTTCCTATTTTTCTCCTTTTCTCTGAAACGATTACTTTTTTGATACTTTGTTTTTGGATTATATCGCGTGAGATGCTGCTTATTTCCAATTACATGACTCTCCTCCTCTCCTCACCAGTTTGTGCAGACAGAAGTCACTGCCTATCTTGCTATCCTTGCACATTATTTTAAGTATTTACCTTGTGCTGTTTGGATGCTGAGACACATGATCTGGGACTTGCAGTTTGGCAAGAGCTCTTTCAGGTCCTATTTGTCTTGCCCCTCTGTCATTTATTTATGTCTTCTTGACCATCTTGAACCTGATGCCACCAGCCACTGGCAATCACCACACTGGATTTGGAGGATCTGCTTTCCCTCCTGGTTTCCTGAGCTCAAGGGGAGCACAGAGATAATGGGGGAAGAGAAGGGCATGCAGTGTGGCTGGCGGGAAGGAAGCAGCTTACTGGACAATATTGACATCACTAAAGTTTGATCTCAACCCAAGGAGCTGAATTTTGGTATTCTGTGGGAAGGTGACTAGGAAGAATATCAGAGACAAGTAGAAATTAGGGGACCATTTCTCAGAGCTGTCCAGTGTGGAAACCTGACCAGCAGTTCCTAATTGTGGTTCTGAATCAGATTCACCTGGGCAGCTTTTTTCTTTTCTTTTCTTTACTAGTGCAGATGTCCTGGTGGTATTCCCAGAGATTCCAATTCAGTAGATCTGGGGTGAGGACCAACCATGTGTATGTGTTTTAAAAAGCCACAAGTTATTGCGTTGCAGCCCGGATTGAAAAAGCATAAAATTTAGATTTGGAAAACTAGTTGTGACTTTTGGCAATGAGTCTGTTTCCTCATCGACACATTGGGGAATTCTACAGGAATGTTGTGAGAATCAAATAATATGTGGAGAAAGTGCTTTGTACATACTGACAAAAAGTACAGACACAGTTGTTCTTTAACATCAGCTGCCAGCCTAGTAAGTGGAAGTTTAATTGGAGAGGACTTGACTTTGGTTTTGTCAGGTGCGCCCCTTTGGTTCTAGCTGAGCCCCAGGAAGAAGAGGAGAAAGACAATTGAGGGAAGAGAAAGGAATATGCAGTTGCCCCTGTGAAGGATAAACAGGATATGCCCTTAAGACCAGCAGTTTATAACATTTTCCCCAATAAGGGTCCCTCTTATTTTTCCTTAATGGATTAATATCGTTAAATTTCATTATAACGTTTCCCTAGTTTTCATGAAATTGCCAGCTAGAGCAGCAGCTTGGAATAACCACAAGGAGGGGGAATATATGCCTGCGTATGCGTCAAATGTTTTAGGAAAGATATTCAAGAAATTTAGGGTCCTAAATTGTAGGAGGCCTACAAAAGGGGATAGAATGGAAGTATTACTTGAGGTTTTAATCATGTACATAGATTACTGTTCTAGGTCTTTAAAAAAATCACCCCTGGTTAATTATGAAAAGCAGAGGCTTCCGGGGTCTTTACAGATTGTGAGTTCCGTTGGTGCAAGTGGACATGGGGTCCTGTTGACTGAGAGCCCCAGAGCACAGCCTGCACATGGGAGGTGCTCAGAGAACCCTAGTTAAATGAATGAATGGAAGCCCAACTACAAAGCAATTTGGACAACGAATGGCAACAAGCCTGTAACATTAATACCATACAGTCACTCAAAGGATAATTATGAACAAGTAGAAATGGAACATTTTTTAATAAATGAAATGAGTAAACACTATGATTACAATAATGCAAAACATTCACACATTGCCTGTGTATGAGTAAAGTCATGAAAAGGGGAAGATCAAACACTGGTCACCCATAGTCCTGAATATTTTAAAGAACCTCAACTAAGCTTTCAAAATGGGGCAAAAAAAAAAAAAAACTAAGGAAAGCAATTAAAATTATTTAATCTTAAAAGAGAGGTTCAATGGATGGCCACCTAATTGGGCCTATATAATTAGGTTTGCTCTAGCTTATCAAGACTCAGAGTAAAACCACGATATTCTTAAGAAGTGCATTTGTAGCTAACATGAATTTTCTGTTGTCATTTTGCTTCTCTGTGAAGGATTGTCAGAATGGCTGCAGCTCCTCAAGCCCCAGCGAGGGGATCTGTTCGTAAAACAAGACCTTTAACTGTAAAGACATCTTTGAACAATCCATACACTATCTGCTGGAGTGCTCTGGAGAGAGAGGATGTGCACTTCATATTGCAGACGCTTGAAGACAGGTTTAAGTCTATTGGACTTCAGAAGATTGAGGATAAGAAGAAAAAGAAAAAAACAGTTTTTTTAAAAAAAGAAAGAGAAAAATGCAGCGTAGATGTTGATGTTAGTGAGGACCTGAAGGAGAGAGAACCAGAGGCCAACCAGCAGGTGTCGGGCTGGACGCCTGTGCACGTCAGGAAACAGCTCGCCATTGGTGTGAATGAAGTTACCAGAGCCCTGGAAAGAAGTGAACTGCTTTTAGTTCTCGTGTGTAAGTCGGTCAAGCCCGCCATCATCACCTCACACTTGATTCAGCTGAGTTTAAGCAGAACTGTTCCTGCTTGTCAGGTTCCCAGGCTCAGTGAGAGAATCGCCCCCGTCATTGGCTTAAAATGTGTTCTAGCCTTGGGATTCAAAAAGAACACCACTGACTTTGTTGAGGAAGTAAGAGCCATCACTCCCAGAGTACCCAGTTTAAGTGTCCCATGGCTTCAAGATGGAATTGACGATTCCAGGGAAAATCTGGAGAACGAATCTTTGGAAAGCCAAGACAAAGAGACTTTGGACACTTCATTTGAAGATCTCTCAAAACATAAGAGAAAGTTTGTTGATGGGCAGACTTCTGCTGTAGCATTACAACCCCTTAAAATAAAGAAACTGATCCCAAACCCTAATAAGATAAGGAAACCATCCAAAAGCAAAAAAACTACTTCAAAGTGATCTTGTATAAACTTGCAATTTCATACAATTTTAAAAAGGACACCTTGTAAAGAAGCCCTGAAACTAATAAAATGAATTATATTTACATATATTTGTAGGATCCTGTTTGCTGATGTTCCTTACAATGTAAGACTGTAACTGGCATGGCACGGATATGCTGAAACTTTAAAAACACTAAGTGCAGAAAATATTCAAAGATATGAGTATCAAAACAAAAGTTTATTGAAACTAATGTCCATGCTTGTATAAATTCACTTTTTTAAAGGCTGGTATGATGCTCGTAAGCAAGAACATCTGTATCCTACAACACATAGCATTATTTTCTATCAAACTTGGAAAGTGTGCCACGGTAAACATGGTTCCAGTTAGTTGGATAGATGAAACGGCATTGGAGAGCATTATCAGTTTTAAAGGATGCCAAATGCTGAGCACTACATTGTGTTCAGAAGCAATACATCACTTTTTACATCATGTCAATTTGACTTTCTTTGTAGGTAGGCATAGACATAGACTTGGAAGAAAGGCGTGGTATTTATAGAAAAAGCCAGATAAGGTATTTTGACTAATTAGAATTCACCCACCTTTACATGGTCAGCTTACGTCCTTGAAAATCTAACATATAAAAAGTATGATGGTAATTAGATAAAATGTGGCAAAAAGACAATTGGATTTTCAGAAGTGGGTCTGTGCCATGACGGGTCCTTCAGGTTAGGAAGTGGAACGTAATCAGTGCTGCTTACAGTGTGTTTGGAAAAGTCACTTTCTATAATTTAGGGGGAATTAATAGATTACGAAAAATTTTTTCAGGCGAAATTCTGGCTGACTCATGAATTATGCCACCTCTTCATTTAAACTTTACTTGTACCATCTTGGCAAAAAAAAAAAAAAAAAAGTAAGGCTACCTTATGGAGTAGAGCATTTTCATAACAAAGTGCAGGACAACGTAGTTCTTTTTTAATCTATAAGACTATATATTGCATTTGAATTTAATTTTAATAGCTACTCTATAAACAGGCAGTTTTACGGATTCTCTAACATGTTCATTGGTAAATCTGCTTAAATTATAAAGAGGCAAATGTTATTACTGTATTTAAAAATGATCAAGTAAAATAATATGAATTCTGAAACAACTGGAAGTACATACATCTTTGAAGGAACAGTATAACAGTTTCATCAGGAGTTAAGCTCATGCCAAAATTTCAGACTGGCAATTCTGCAATTACTTGAAAAGCTACTTTGTATAAGACTGTGCCATAAAAATGGGATGTAAGTTCTTAACTAGAGCCTTAACTCTGATTCAGTCAAAATCTCTTTTACTTAATGGTGTGTCAAAGCATATTTCAGTGAATTGGTACAGTTTTGTTTCTTGAAGCCTTTCTCCTCCTTTAGGAAAGACTGGTGATGCAATTGCGTTTGAACTGTCCAAAGTGAGAAGTCCTGCACTGAGTCTCCAAGAACAGTGCTACTCCTGATAGTGCACTACTGTGGGGCCCAAGTCTGCCCTCTAGTGGCAGTCTCAGGGATGCCACAGCTGTGGGTTGGTCTTTAGGATGATGGTAAGCTATACATAAAGCAGCTTTCCACTCTTTAGTGTAAGTCAGTGTCAACAAACTTTCTGTAAAGGACAAGATGGTAAATATCTGAGGCTTTGCAAGCCATAAGATCTGTCACTCAACTCAACTTTCCTTTGCAGTGGCGAAGCAGCCTCGGGCAACACACGTAAATAAAGTGTGGCTGTGTTCCAATAAAACTTTATGGATGCCGGAATCTGAATTTTGTATAATTTGCACATTTCACAAAATGTTATTCTTTTGACTTTTTTTTCCCAATCATTCAAAAAAATAAAAACTCTTAGCCCCTGGGCTGTACAAAAACAGGCTATGGGCCCTAGTCTGAGCGCCCCTCCCTGGTATAAGGTATGATTGGTTTCATTGGACTACTTACAACATGAAGGAAATGCCATCATGTTATCTAAAATAACTTTTTCTGCACTGAACAGCCTAGGCACTGGTATAGTAAAGGCAGGAATTAGTATCTACTTTGTGGTGTTTGAGACAAGGCCAGTCTATGTGGCCCCCTGTAGCATCTTATTTTTCCCCTTGGGTGACGGGCAAAATATATGCACATATATGTACACTATGAAACTTTGTTTTTCAAATTCTAGATAAAAACACCATCAGTAACAAAATTATGAATACTTATTTACAAATAAGACATTTTCCATTAGCATGACAGTTTTCGTGATAAATTAAAGTCAGCAAAAAGGAACATGTGCAATTCTGCATAAGTAATAAAAACATTCAAACTCTCAATGTCCTGATAGCACTAATAAATTCCACCGTGCATCTCTTTTTGACTTAGAGCTTTTATTTCCTTTTGCTCACATAGATCCTTGATGTTGCTGAGAAGAAACTGGTGTTTTCATAGCAGCAGAAAAGTCTAGTCAGTCGTGGGCATGTGCTCTTTCAGAGAGCACACAGTGTGTGCACAGAACTTTGCTTTTGAAACGATCCACTGACCTCATGAAGATCAAAGTACAAAAGCTGTATGTTTACTGATTTGGCAACTTTGCTTAGGGAGAAATCAATGTCCTAGTCACCAGTACATTTTTATATTGTTCCACACTTCAACATCCACCACTTGTCCTTGAGTCACAGAAGTGTTAATTCCATAAATGTTCCCAAAGATACCATGTAAGATGACACAAGTAAAAATTTTCCAAATGGATCTCTCGTTCTGTTCCAGGGACAAATATACTGAATAAACAGAAATGCAGCAGTTTATCTCCACACAACAGCAAAGATTTCCTTACGCTATTTTGTGACTTCTGTTCAGTCTGCAGAAAAAGTCCCTTTGCTAGAGAGTGGAAAAATACCTCTCTTCATCAAGAGACAGCCAAAAGTTTAAAAATTAGAAGAATGTGCTCTTTGTACCCTTTCATTTCTCCCACAAATGGGTAAACAGTGAAAAAAAGATGAATTTTAACGTCCTAGCTAGAAATGTGTACTATTGGTCACATGTGGATTTTTTTTCCATCTGTTCTGATTGTTATCTACTACACTTCAGTTTCATTTAAGTTGTGCTTTTATTCTTCTTTGGAATGGCAGTTCCAGAAATCATTAGAATATTAACAAATGATGTCAGAGTTCTAGAAATAAAAATATCCACCTACTGTAGTACAAGTCCAACCTAAAAGGAGGGAATAAATGGAATAGTAAGAAAAATTAAATTACAAGGTAGTACAATAGATCTGTATTTTTAAAAGCTACTTAAAAAGCCCTCTTAATCCTAAGGGTAGCAAGTATGGAACTCTCAAAGTAAATTTATTGAGTTTACAAAAGCTATATGTCCACTTAACTTACCTTTTCAGAGTCTGTTCCTGGACACCTCCAGTTGTACAGGTAATACTGCAAATTGCCATCGCCTACACCAAACTTTAGTTTTTCTAAGACTGTCTTATTTTCCATCAAATCTAGTGCATTGAAGACATCAAATCCTTTCTGCCAATGGAAAAAAAGATATAAAATTTAAAACATCAAAGGACTAGAGAGTGTTTTCCATATTATGTATTTCACTATAACATCTAATTACTAATAGCTTGAATAGGCATTTATAATAGGTTTAATGTCTGCAATACATAGTGTAGGTTAAGAATTCAAGTGAAAATTGTCTTATAAAAGACAATTAGTAGTAGTAGTGAGTCTGATGAAGTCAGTAAGATAATTCAGAAATGCTGAATAAAAAAATGTAGTATGATGGTTACCACTGATATAAAATAACATTAATATTTCAGAAAATATTTTGTTCTAGAAGGGAACAGTTGTCAAGATGGTTCCATCTCCAGAATTAGTCCTTACTGGCCATTCTAAATCCTGACTTAGCCAAAGCTATTGTCACAGAACCACAGCTGTAAAGACTTTATGTAGTATGTCTGTCCTGGGCTGATAATGGGAAATAAATTTAGCAGGATTTCAATGGTAAAAGATTAAATTTCTTTAAAATGTTAGATAATACTACTATGCAAAATGTGATACAGAGGCAGCACCCCAATTTTTATTTCTCAGAATTTTTACCTTAAATAACTTACTACTAGCCATTTTGGGGAAGTAGATGAAAATGAGCAATCTGAGGATAGTGTTGATTTGGAGACCGAAAAGTACAGGTAACACATTTTTAAAAACAATGTTTTCAATTATCAAATACTAGAGAAATACAAGGAAGACACTTTTGATGTGTTGTTTTCAATTTCTCATGAACCATCTTCTCATATTCAATATGTATCATCAAAATGTATCTTTCAGCTGAATTAAATTTGTTTTTAAAGGAAAATATTTGTACCAAAAATTTAAAAATTATCCAAACTTCCACATTGGGTAAATAGAAAAACAACAGATATAGTATGTATATTGTGAATTTAATTTCCTTTAATTTTAAAATTCAGACTATTTGAATCAAAAAATTGCTATTTAATTATTCACTCAACACAAATATTTACTCAAGTATTTGCCTTGTATTATGGGATCATGTCTTTTTCTTATATTCCTTATATTATTACCTTATATAATAGGCTTTTATGTGCTCTTATATAAGGGTTAAGTTCCCAATTTGTATAAAATATCTTTTTTGTTAAGGTGTAATAAAATTAATGCTAAAAATAGCCACTTAAGTTTTAAAAGAAGCTCTTATCAAAATTCTTCCTTTGACTGATGGTCAATAGTGAAAAATAAAAATCTTGCATGATTCCACCTGTGTGGAAGAAAATACAGTACGTTGTTTCATATACTTTGGCATACACATTTGGAGAACCAAACAGCACAAAAAGGAATGAGTCCCTTACCGATTTAGCCAGGATGAGTGCGTCGTTCATGAGGTCCAAAAGGGGCGTCTCCGTGTGAATGTTGTAGAAAGAGTAGGCAGCTTTGAGGCTTTTGTGAGCCGGGTGGTGCATCACTGTCGAGGGGAGTGTGTAGAAGCTCAGGAAGTCGGTCAGTTTTCCACTGGAGTTCTGAGAAACACAGGTGACGGCAGGTAAGGTGAAATGAATAAGATAATACAAACTACGATAACATCAAATAACACGAAACATTTAGGAATAAATTTAATAAAAGATGTGCAAGACCTCCCCACCAAAAACTACAAAATACTGAGAGAAATTAAAGAAGAAATTAATGGAGAATTACACAGTATCCATGGATTAGATATCTCAATATTATAAACATCAATTTCTGCTAAAATTGATCTATAAATTCAATGCAATACCAAGCAAATCCCAGCAGGCTTTTGTGGTAAAAACAGACTAGCTGATGCCAAATTTATATAGAAATACAAAGGATCTAGAAGAGCTGAAACAATTTTGAAAACAAAGAGAATGACTGTAAAAGGACATAAGGAAACTTTCTGGATTCCTTTTTTGTATTTCAGCATATTACGGGGGTACAAATGTTTAGGTTACACATACTGCCTTTGCCCCACCCGAGTCAGAGCTACAAGCGTGTCCATCCCCCAAACGGTGCGCACCGCATCCATTAGGTGTGAATTTGCCCATCCTCCCACCCCTCCCACCTGCCTGACACCCGATGAATGTTACTACTATATGTGCACGTAAGTGTTGATCCATTAGTATCAATTTGATGGTGAGTACATGTGGAGCTTGTTTTTCCATTCTTGTGATACTTCACTTAGTAGAATGTGCTCTAGCTCCATCCAGGATAATACAAGAGATACTAGTTCACAATTGTTTTTTGTGGATTCTTTATCTTGATTTGAGTTGTAGTTAATTACATGGATTCACTTGTCAAAACTCATCAAACTGTGCACTTAAAATCTGTGCATTTCATTTTATGTAAATTATACCTCAGTAAAATTGACAAAAAAAATTTCAACACCAATTCACGATTTTAAAAAAACAAAACACAATGAACAGAAAAAAAACTTGATTAACCAAAATAAAGATTTTTGATATCTACCAAAAACTTCTTAATGGCTAAATGTTGAAGTTAGGATCAAAATGAAGATGTCCATTTGATATCTATTTATTTTGTACTATATGGCTTATCCACTACAATACTAAAAGAAAAGCAAATATGACCTATCAGGATTAAAAAGGAAAACTAAAAGTATAATTATTGGCATATAATATGTTTGGACATACAGAAAACCTAAACAAAATCTTAGAACTAATAAGAGTTCAGCAAATTTTCTAAATACAAGATTAACATACAAAAATCCTTAGCATTTCTATTCACCAACTTTAGTCAATTAGAAAATATAATGATAATTTTAAAAATTCCACTTATCACCAAAAGCTATAATGTACCTAGGACACTAAAATGTGTGTGTGTGTGTGTGTGTGTGTGTGTGTGTGTGTACACGCACTAGGGCAGCTGGGCAGAACTGGCGAAAGGGATTTCACCACAACAAACACTCGAACCCTGGAAGCTCTTGCACACTGGTGGGCTCAAAACTCTCCAACTCCCCCCACTGCTTCAGGCAGCGGGACCCTGCTGCAACTAGTGCCACCCAGGAAAGCCTATTTGACCGCACAATTCTGAGATTCCCATCCTACCCTGAGAGACACTGGACGCCCAGCCTGGGGAACCCCTGCCAACCCTGCAGACAGTACCGGCAAGGGCCAGTGGGAGTCTACAGACACCAGATAAACCAAGCAGACCAAAATAAAACTGGGAAGGCTCTGACAATTAAACTGTCATCGGAACAAGAGCTAACAAAGCAGCCAGGACCTGCACGTGAACATAAACAGGGTGACTACTTGTACCTGTTAAAATAAAAAATTTACTAAGACACAGAGTCTCCTCCCATAATGGGCAATATATCTAAGATAAAATCAAAAGTCACCTGTCATACCAACAACCAGGAAAATCACAACTTGAATAAGAAAAAGCAACCAACTGAGGCCAACACTGAGATGAATCAGATGTTGGAATGATCTGGCAATATTGTCAAGCAAGCAGCTATCATAAAAATGCTTCAATTAATCACAAGTGCTCTTGAAACAAATGAAAAAATGGAAAATTTGGGCAAAGAAAGAGATGTCATTAAAAACAAGAAAATAATAGAGAATAAACAAAATAAAAAACAAAAGTCTGGTTCTTTTGGAAGAAATATCAATAACATTTACACAAGTCTAGTAAGACTGACAAAAATAAAAAGAGAAAAAAAAATAAAAAGAGAGAAGATATGAATCACCAGTATCAGGAATGAAATACGAAATATCACTACAGATCCTGCAGCAATTAAAAGGATAAGGGAATACTATGAACGACCTTGCAATAATAAATTCAACAACTGAAAATGAATAGACCAATTCCTCAAAAATTATTAAAACGCAAGATGAAATAGATCATCTGAATAGTGCTATAACCATTACAGACATTTAATTCATTATTTTAAAGCTCCCAAAAAAGAAATGTCTAAGCTCAGATGGTTTCGACTGAAGATTTCTACCAAACATTTAAAGAATTAATACCAATTCTATAAATCTCTTCCGGAAAATACAAGAGGAAGTAATACTTCCCAACTCATATTATGAGGCCAGTATTACCTTATGTAAACCAGTCAAAGATATTATCATAAAAGAAACTTCAGACGAATGTCTCTCGTGAATCAAATACTCAACAAAACATTAGCAATCAAGTACGACAATGTATAAAAAGAATTATACACCATGACCAAGTGGATTTTTTCTAGGAATGCAAGAGTGATTCAACATTTGAAAATCAATCAATGTATTCTACCATATCAATGGACTAAAGGAGAAAAATCATATTATTATCAAAAGAAGCAGAGAAAACACTGGACAAAATCCAGCACCCATTCGTAAGAACTCTCAGCAAGTTAGAAACAGGGGAATGACCTCGAATTGATAAGGAGCACCTGCAAAGAACCTATGGCCAACATCATACTTCATGATGAAAGATGGGATGCTTTTCCCCTAATATCACAAGACTAAATATCAACCTTCGCCACTCTTATTCAACAAAGCAAGGAAAGATCTAGCTCCTGCAATAAGGCAAGAGAAAGAAATAAAGGAATAGAGATTGGAAAGGAAGCCATGAAACTGTCCGTATTTGCAGATGACATGATTGTCTATGTAGAAATCCTAAGGAATTTATACATAAACTCCTGGAACTAATGAGTGATTTCAGCAAGGTTACAAGAACAACACGGAAAAAAGCAAATGCATTTTTATATACTGACAATGAACATGCAGAAACCGAAATTAAAAATACAATACCATTATAATCACTCCAAAGAAAGTGAAGTATTTAGGTATACACTTAAGAAAATATGTACAAGTTTTGGATGCTGTTGTAGAATGCTGATAAAAGAAATGTTAACAGACCTAAATAAATGTAGAGACATACATATCATGTTCATGGATTAGAAGACTTTTCAATTCTCCCCAAATTAATCTATAGGTTTAACATAATTCCTATCAAAATGCCAGCAACGTATTTTGTAGACAAAGACAAGCTTATTCTAAAATTTATATGGAAAGGCAAAGGTAACAGATTGACTAAAACAATCTTGACAAATGACAGTAAAATGGAAGGAATTATTCTACCCAATATTAAAGCTTACTATATAGCTATAGTGATCGAGTCAATGTAGTATTGGTGGAGGGACAGAAAGATCAATGGAATAGAATAGAGGACCCAGAAATAGAACATAATACAACGTATTGTTATTCAGCATATAGAAAAACTTCCATAAATCAATAAGAAGATTACAGTCAAAAAGAAAAACAGGCAAGATATATGAATACAAATTCATAAAAGAAGAAATAAAAATGTCTAATAGACTTATGAGATATTCAAATTCATTAGTAATAAGGAAATATAAATTAAAAACAAAATACTATTTCATACTCATCAGATGGGCCTAAATTCAAAGTCTGATAATACCCATTTGTTAGTAAGGACGTAAGGAAACAGGAACTCTCATAGGACGCTAAGGAGCTATTTCACAATTCTAACAGTGTTAAAGATGGGTCTGACCCTTAGACTCAGCAGTTCTAAGTACATGCCCCAGGCAGCAGTTCTCAAAATGTAGTCTGTGAACCCTGTGGGTACCTGAGACCCTTTCAGAAATCTGTGAGGTCAAAAGTATTTTCATAATAATTACACTAAGAAGTTATTTGCCTCGTTCACCATGTTGATATGGGCACTAATGGAGCAAAAGAAATGGGAGTCAAAACTGCTGGTGCCTTAGCACAAAATAAGTCAGTGGCACCAAACCGTACTGGTAGTGGTCACCATATTCTTCAACGCTACACCCTCACAGTTAGAAAAAAAAAAAAAAAAGTCAGTTTCACATAAGCATGTCCTTGATAAAACATTATGAATTGTTAATTTCATTAACTCTCAACAGTTAAGTCCACATCTTTGCAACGCTGTGTGATGAGATGGAGGAAGTATGCCTGAGCACTGCTGCTGGACACCGGAACACAAAGGGGGCCTCGAGGAGAGGCCACATGCCCGTCACCTTATCTTTACCTCCACTACAAACGTGTAGATGATGTGCTCCCGGGGGAGGAACCAGTGGGCTACTTCCTCTTCATCCATCACTGGCGCTAGATGAAACTGCTTCAGGTAACTGTTGCTTAATTCTCGAACTGCTTTGATATCTTTCGGTTCCATCGGTCTCAAACCTGAAGTCTTTGTAACCTTGTTAGAGGGAAAACAAAACAAATCCAGAAGTGGACATATGAGAGGAGTAAAGCTACTGTGCGCTCAGAGTGTGGTCCACAGACCAGCGGTCTCAGCACCACAAGGGAACTTGTTAGAACTGCGGACTCTTGGCCCCACCCCAAAACTAGTGAATCTGAATCTGCAATGTCACAAGACTCCCTGGGGATTCATGTACATATTAAAGTTTGAGAAGTGCTGGGTTAAAATACAGACTAGACAATGGGTTGTATCTTCTTGTCTCTGTGCAGCAGGTCTTGGGTCCGTACTGCCCACAGCCCAAATAAAATCAAAGAAA